TATTTTTCTAATTAATTCATTTTCTTATTTCAAGTCAAATAATGCAGTGCATGTTTCTCTAAATAGCAATTTATTTTATTTTATGCAAATGTTAATGTTCAATTTATATTTGATTCGCTTTTTTTTCAAATCGAGGAGTGAATTCTTTTAGGCAAGAAATAGAAGATATAACCTTCTCGTCGGAGGATGAACAAATCTCGATATTTCTTTTCAAATCAAAGGATTTTCCCTAATAAATAATTCGAAGCAAATTAATTAAACTTTCATAAATGGATCACATTCGAACTTTATATTGAGTCATAATTTTCACTACTGCGACAATATATAAGCGATTAAGTACTAATTTTGGGCGTTGTGGGTGTGTTTATCCTTCCTCACGTGTAATCGACTCCCGAACCCGTTAATTCGAATTTTTCGTAAACGCATACATATTTTTGTCTTTTAAATTATTTTTCTGAATTGTTTAAAAGATATTTTTAGGTATTCGACCTACATAATTTAAAGGTCGATGACGACTCCTATTCAATTTAATTCAAATTCATACAAAATCGCCAATTTTTCAAATAAAATCATAATTGATTTTTTAAATGGTTATGATATTGGGGATTTTTTTGTTAATTTGTTCATGATTTAGTTTACTAATTGTTTTTTTGGGTAAATTATGTGTTTAGGACTTAAAATATTATTTGGTATGTTTTATTACCTAAACTTACAATTTTTTCCAATTTATACATAACATTTAATTTTTGTTTCATTTTAGTACCCCGTTAAAAACTTAACGTGAAGTTTCAATTTTTTTTAAAAGTTTAGGTACTACAACGGACTAAAACTAGTAGTTTAGGTACTAAACGTGTAAAGTTTTTAACGATGTGTACTAAAATGAAACAAAAGCTAAACGTTAGGTATGATTTTGGAAAAATTAAAAGTTTAGGTACTAAAACAGAACAAAGCTGATAGTTTAGGTACTAAACGCGTAGTTTACACTTATTTTTAATTATTTTCCATTTGTTTAATATTTATTTTTGATTTTTCTTTTCATTAATTTAAAATGAAAATATAAAAAAATATTAATATTTATAGAAATTAATTTAATAAATTATTATATATCGAGTGAATATATAATCTTTGTTCTTACATTTAATCTTCAAATAATATTAAATGTTAGTTTTTTAATACTTTTTTCCTAATATTAATATTAAAATATTTCATAACAATGATATAGAAGTGTCATAATTAGATAATGTCATGTCATCATTGAATAAAGATGAAAAAAATAATATTCAGCATTTATGTTAATTTTTTAACAGTATCAAATTGAAACCTAAACTAAACATTAAGTATGATTTTGAAATAAAATAAAATTTGGATACTAAAATAGAACAAAGATAATAATTAAAATACTAAACGTATAGTTTACCCTAACTTTTATTATCATACGCATCAACTGGAAATTGGGAAGATGCAAATCCTTTTTGATCTCTCAAAGGCTAATTTAATAGTCTCATTATTCATCTCTTAAATCACCCGAAAGATGCCTTATTCTCTCGCATGAATTAACTCATTATAAGCTATTCATAGTTGTGGTTTTTTAACATTTCTTACTTAGGGAGAGGAGAAGAAGAATTTTGTTTGTATGCATGCTCTAAAGATTACTGACACTCATAGTTATGGTTTTAGAATTGAACATATGTCAATATTCTGATTAGTTGGTTAAAGGTACATGCACATAGATATTTTTTATTTGAGTTAAAATTTAATTAGATCTTGATAATTTAATGGGTGTGGTTAAAAAATAGTTGAGTCTTTAATTTTTAATGGATTTGATCTTAAAGTATGTATTTAGTATATAATATATGAAGTGTTTAATATTTTGGTTAATTCTGTTAATTAATCGATTTCAAATTAAATTATTCATTAATCAAATATTGAAAAAATAAATTATTCTCTGACCGAACTAATTTCGGTGGCCGACTGTTTAATCGAACTAATTTGGTTTGGTCAATTAATTCGATTAACTCTAAGAAGTGAACACCCTGAATACTACAAGAGGGAGACTCAAATACGAGATTCTTAGACTTTTCTTTTTCTGGTGCTGATAAGCCAACTCTTCTTAGGGAAGTGTCGAGGGAGGAGATTAAGTCATCTATGAGCAGGGGTCGGATAAGGCTCCGAGGCCTGACGGGTTTTCCTCCCATTTCTTCAAATCTGCTTGGGAGATAGTGGGGGATAATCTTGTTAGTGTTGTTTCGTGGTTTTTAGTTCCTCTGAGATGTATCCAGCTTTCAATGCTACAATCTTGGTGCTTGTTCCGAAGGATGCAAATCTTAACCATATGAGGGATTTTCAGCTGATGTCTTATTGTTCGATTGTTTATAATCGTATCACTGAGACCATTGTTAGAAGGCTTCTATCGTTCTTGTCGGATATTGTCTCGAGTAGTCAAAGTGCCTTTGTTCCTAGGAGGTACATAGTGGACAACACGCTCATGGCTCAAGAGCTTGTTAGGGGCTATGGTAGGGGTACTCTTTCTCCTAGGTGTGCTCTGAAGATCGATTTACAGAAGGCGTTTGACTCTATTGATTGAAAGTTTATCTTTGTTGTTTTGACTACGTTGGGTCTACCTTTGTTGTTTGTCAGTTGGATTAGAGAATGCATTACCACGCCTCGGTTCTATGTATCTTTAAATGGGGGGCTGATGCTGTATTTCAAGGGCGCGAAAGGGGTGCGATCCACTCTCCCCCTACATTTTTGTCCTCTCTATGAATGTGCTGTCAAGATTATTGGACAAGGCTGCGGAGTGGGTGATGTTTAGTTATCATCCGAAATGTCGTAGAGTTCAGCTAACTAACTTGTGCTTTGCTAATGATTTGGTAGTGTTTACTAAGGGCACTTATGAGTTTATCTTGGGAGCGTAGAGGATTATGGAAGTCTTCTATCACTTCTCTAGCTTGTAAATGAATTCGTTCAAATCTGAAATTTATTCTTCTGGTGTTAACATGTAGCCCTGCAGGCGGTTTTTGAGTTCAAAGGCATCAAGAGAGATACCCTCTCTGTGTGATATCTTAGGATTCCTCTAATCTCTAGGAGACTCGCTGTGAAAGATTGTGCTCCTCTACTCGAGAAGATCTCGGTCAAGCTCCAGAGTTGGAAATCTAAGCAGCTTTCATACAAGGGGAGACTTCACCTTATTCAATGTCTTATATAGCATCCAGAACTTCTGGTCCAACCAGCTCTACTTGCCTACTATTGTTATTAGAAGAATCAATCAATTGTATTCTCGTTTTTTTTTTTTTTGGAAAAGCGAGGATAAGCGTACTAAGGGAGCTAGGATCAGTTGGCGGACCATTTGTAGCCCAAAATCGGGGGTGGGGGTGGGGGCTTGGTCTTAAGGATCTTTGTAACTGAAACTAGGCGTGTTCTATCTTGTTGAACAAGGTGGTGTTGTTGAAGGAGGGTTCTATTTGGATATCTTGAATCCATTCTTATGTGATTAAGAGATGCTCCTTTTGGCAGGGCCTCAGGGGTGTAGCTGGACATGGTGGAGTTTACTGCGTGTTAGGAGCAGTGCAGCTTCTATTCAGGGGCTTCTTGATAGTTCTTTGTTGCTCAAATTTGGAGGGGAGATTAGGCCTAAGAAGGATAAAGTCCTTTGGGATAGACTGATGTGGCATTCTGGCCACATTCCCAGGAACTCAGTCATGGCATGGATGATGGTTCTAGATAGGCTCCCAATCAAATGTAGACTTATTGAGTTTGGATTAAATGTGGATACCTCATGAGTTGTTTGCAAGAATGACTTAGAGACTCGTGATCCTATATATTCTCTCAGTGTGATCTCTCTAGGTGAATTTGGCAAGATGTATTGCATTTGTGCCAACTGAATAGAGGTGCTATAAGCTATGGCTCGGAGCTTGGGTGGGCCTATCGCAGGTTGAGGAGGTCCTTGTTCTCCTTGGTGTTGAAGCTGACCTGAAATTATTTTATCTCCACAATTTGGTGAGAAAGAAATCAAATGGTGTTTCTACATTTCAATTGCTCGATTTCGGATTTGGTTACCCGTATTACGTATGTTATTAGGCTAAGGCTTAAAGGTAGGCTTTTAAATAGAGAGGATTCCTTTAACACAGTTATTTGTTAGACCTGGAACCTTGAAGATTAGGTATTGCTATCTTCTCTTCAGGTTTTATGCTGTACATATGGTTTTGGTTGGTATAGTTGCAAAACAATTTACTATTCATCGGGAAAAAAATCTTGATGGTATAATAGATGACGTAATATTCTACATCAATTATATATGATATTTATAAAATATTTTTTAATATTGAAATTTATAAATATAAAATAAATAAATACAATTGAAACAATTGACTTATTTTCTGTAAAATATAGTGTATGTTTACTACGTTTGAGTTTTAAATATATAAAATCCGAACCTTTCATAATTTGTTCTTTTAAAGATTGCAAACAATTTTTTTAATACTAAACTAAAATTATAGTTTAAAATTATTTAATTTATTTATATTTTTACATTTAAATTATCTTTACATAAAATAAAAATAAACACAAGTGCATGGCATGTGTCAAAAAGTTAATTATTAACAAAGAAAATAAAAGCAAAACAATTATTTAGTCCCACTTGTGAAGTTAAACGTAACCGATAATAAACCCGACCTCAGTGATAAAATGAAAATGATGTTCTGCCTAGAGATTTTGGGTTCGAGATGTGTGCATTATCAACCGATTAAAAAAATTCTAAACAGACACTGAATTGTAATCAGCTAGTATTCGAACAACTCATTTAAACCAAAAGTGAAATTACTAAAAAGGGTGGAAACAAAAAACACAATTCATCATTCGAGTACAAGTACAAGAATACAGTAACACATATATTGGGTTCAGGATGTGTGTGCATTATCAATATATACTACCTTGTAATCAGCTAGTATTCAAACAACTCGTATAAATCAAAAGTGATATTAGTACAAAGGGTGGAAACGTAAAACACAATTCATCATTCAAGTACAAACACAAGAATACAGTAACACATATATATTGGGGATAGGGAGAGGGATGACTTGAAATAAAAAAAACCAAGCTTACATGTCTCACTTAGCTTTCTTGTTGCCACTAAACAGAGAAGTAGTTGTCAATGGTTCCATTTGATATGACTGTAAGTTGGGTGTGGTACTAACCTATATTATGGGGATATTTAAGGGATGAAGGTGAAAACTGTAGTGCAAGTAACTCCTCTCTGCTATATTTCAATCTTTGATCTAATATTTGAGAAGAAAAAAAGGAAAATTAGATTATAAAAGAGAGACGATATTTGATACTAGAAGAATAAAATTGTGAACGTCTACTTACCTACGAGAAACTCAGGCATGGGCAATTTTACCTGTTTTTTGTTCCATCGAGAAATCTTTGAAAATTGTTGTGATGAGGATGGGCTACTGGAAAATATTTGCTGCTCTGCTGAAATGTTCTCGATAACTTCGTGCCGTATCTCAACTTGAGGATGTTTCTTTAAGAATAGTGAGATAGCATCTTCAGTTAAAAGCCAACAACCCATCAGGTCCAGTAATCTCAATGTTCTTGGTGGGCAAAATGCATCCAGGCCACTAGTTGTTAACACAGCATCACGGACCTGAAGTGTGGTCAGCTTTGGGAGAGACGATAAGTGATGCAACGTGGCGTCCGTAAGGGAAGCACATCTGAGAGATAAATGACTCAGTTCTTTGCAACTTGATAAAGGGTGCAAATCCGGATCCCTAACTTGTGTATGCTCCAAGTTCAAGCTCTCCAAATAATTAAGATTTTGAAGTGCCGTTAGTGTGCTATCCTTATGTGACTCGATGCCTGGCTGGAGAATAAAACCTGCAAATTGCAAAAGAAATGTTAAAAACTAAACAAGCATGCCAAGGATTAATAATTCAGTTCAAGTCCACAACTGAAGAACAAGGCAACAGAAAAACATATTTTCCAAAGACGTGAAAAATCAAGACTACCACAATATTCATGATCAATCCAAGATTCCAAGTAACTAACTAACTTAAGGTTTGTAGTGAAGAAACCAAACCTTCAATGTTTGTGTTGCTTAGTTCAACAACCTTAAGTGATGGCATCAAGCCAATATAAGACAAGGCAACATCATCAACTGATGTCTGAGATAAAGATAAAATTTCAAGTTTGGGAACATGTCCAGCTAAAATCCCAATCCCTACAGAGCTGACCTTTGTTCTGCTTAGATTTAGATTTTTCAGACCGGCTCCAATACATACAATCATTTCAACAGAATCATCCCCAAAGGTGCTAGAGCTGAGATCCAAATGTTCTAGCATTTTCATATCAGCTAAAAAACCAAACCGGTTAAGGGAAGATTTGGATACATCTAAATAGGATAAGGAACTCATTTTGATATGTAAGAAGGCCTCAGCCTCACTCGTGAAAGTTGATCCGGAAAAAACAAGCTTCAAGAAAGGAGATTCATCACCACCGTCTTCAAGGATAGAATCAATGGAACAATTACTCATGTTCAGACATTCAAGAGATGACAGATTTGGAAAGCTCGTAACATTGGTCCAAGCAAGATTGAGGAAGCTCAGCTTGGGGAAGCTTTGAAGGACCAAAGCCCCTTTGTTAGATATTTTACTCCCCCATAGATCAAGGTATTGTAGCTTTGTCAATGCCTAAAACAAAACAGCCACCACAAATCTTTTTAACCTGAATAATTTTACCTGAAAATGAAAACTAACTAATAGATCTTAGAATCAATCATTCAAAATGATACAGCCAAACTTAGACTAAAAGAACAATCTATGGTAATTGAAATATAACTAAGCTCATCCAGCTCTTACAAATGATTTTAACTGCAAGGAAACTTCACTAACACAAATATCAACTGAAACATCCAAGTTCTCATCTAAATAAAGTACTTACAAAAAGAGAAGGTTACTAACAAAGTTTGCAGAGTCCAGCAAAACTCAAGAGGCATGGATCATCAGTAATTTTGGATATAGTTGTGAATTATTTCATTCTTCAGCCAATGATAATAAATACAGTAAATATAATGGGGTGAGTACCTGGAGAGAATTCAATGCAGTATCAGTGACAGGCAAACCACCCAAGTCTAATACAGACAAATCCTTAAGAGACGAGAGCAGTCCAACTCCATTCTCAGTGACACCGGTCTCAGAAATCCATAACTTATCCAAAGTTGAAATGGATATAATATGCCTAACGCCAGCATCACTAACCTTCATGCACCGTGAAAGGTCCAGCTCTTTCAGACTAGTCATCCCTAAGACCAAGAAAGAAAGAACACAACAAATTTATAAAAGTAATTCAGGTTACCAACACGACAAAATTGAGTTTTGGTATCCATTTCTTTATGGGGTTATTATTTTAATGCATCTAAAATAGCCTAATTTTCGTATAGATAACTGAAAATAAACTCCCTTATATTTTTTATTACATTTGAGAAAAATAAATGAAAACATACCAACTAAGGACCAAATAGCAGAATTATTAATTCTATGACAATCAGCGAGATTAAGAGTTCGTAGATAACCAAAAGCGCCTAAATACGCCATCCATTCCGCATCAACAGAATTCTCGCCACTAAGATCTATCTCCTCCGCACTGTGTTTGAACACTCTGCATACAAAAATGAACAATCTACTTTAATAGGGATCAGATTGCAAAAATTCAAAATTAAACTGAAAGCTAAATAAAAAAACGTAAATTCTTATTCACAGTTTTTTTTTGGCAGACAATTCAGATCTAAGTTTTTAGAAATTGTAACAATTGAACAAATAGAAAACAAAAAAAAAATCAAACTATTTAGAAATTATATAAAAAATTGAAGTGATAATAAACGAATGTTAGTTTACTCGAGCAAGGAAGGGAAGAGGAGGCGACGACGGAGGAGGTTTCGAAGGAGAGCTTGAGAAAGGTGAGATGGCAGCCGCTCAAGAGTTCTTCTTTGTCTCCGCCATTTCTCCACGCTCTCTTTGCTTCGACAAGCTGCTTCTATGCACCGCCGAATCAACACGCTCTCTTGCTCCATTTCCTTTAGGTTTATTACTTTTCTGTTCTCTATTGAGTTTCGATCGATCTTGCTCTTCGCTTTTTCTCTCTTTGATCTTTCAGGCTTCAGATCTTCGAAAATTGAATCTGACCAAAGATAAAATTCAAAGTCGGCAACTATTATTTTATTTGATTGCAATTCAACTGAAATGTCAGATGTGGAATGTTTATTTATTTTGTTTTCATTTTCTAATGAAATTTTATTGAAGGCTCAGAAAAAAATTCGGAAAAAATGACGTTTTTTAAGTATAATAACGTAAGGGTAAACTACAAATACGGTCACCAAGCATTTTGGATTCTTGCATTATGGTCAAACACTTTTAAAACTTTAAATACAGTCACCAATCTTTTAGTTTGTTTCTAGCAGGCTCCCTGACGTTACCCCCGTTAGTTTTATCTGACCTTGCACTTTACTGTTATTTTTTAACTTAATAAAACAATTCCTTTAACAGATTTCATCTTAATAAAAATGTTCTCACCTAAAATTGACTGGAAACCCTAGAAATCAAATTGGGACTAAAATCCAAAATCATTACAACTTAATCTATTTTTTTATTTCGAATCTTATTGGGACAAAATCACATTCAATATGATAAAAAGTAATTCCAGAATATGAAAAGTCGCTCAATTTCAGATTTCAAAATATTTAAACAAACTTCATACAATTGGATAATACATGAATCAAACTAGAAATAACAATTTATCGTTCGCCACACTTGAACAAACCTTCGATCGAGTCATTATCTCTCTCATTTTTATCCAGAAGCAGTCAAAAATTTAGAGGGGAAAAATCTAAATCAGAAAACCCAAATTAAACTAATTTATTTAAGTCATTTGAGCAATGAAAGAGTTTTAAACCATTTTAACTTTTCTCAAATTTTATACGGCATCGTTTTAGATTTTTTTTTAATTTTTATTAAGCTTAAAAATAACTGTAATGTGACACGTCTTATAAAACTAACGGGAGGTAACGTTAGAGACCTTACTGAAAACGAACTAAAACTTCAGAGATTATATTGTAAATTTTAAAAGTTAGGTGACCAAAATACAAGCGCCTTGAACGTTTAGTGACCATTTATGTAATTTACTCTAAATATTAATATGAGTACTAATGTAGCAATCATGTTTTAATTATAAAGGATTAGTGCCTATGAGATCAAAGCATCTTGCTTCTAAGCTAGTTATCATTTATTTATTTAAGCAATGTTCTACAACCTCAGATCCATTAAGGATTAATGCATTTTCTCTGGTGAAGAATTCAACAAACAATGTGTTTGTTCAGAAGGTATGATCTTTTTCTTTCCTTTGTTTTCTGATATTGTGAATTGATTTGGCTTACTATGTGAATCCATGTTGATGTTTAACCTTTAGGACATTTTTCATGCTTCTAAAAAAATCCAGCTTGTGCTTATTCATGCCATCACTTGTAGCTTCTAGCTTCATCACTTTCTGTGTTACCTCAACGACTTCAATATGATCAAGAGGAACCTAACTCGTTATGGCAGTGGCTTCAACGCTGGACATTTTCACAGGCGATATTCGCTGCCATCTTCAACCAATAGCAATCTAGGTTCACTCTCACCTGGTGCTCAAAGGCCAGCTCACCTAGCTGGTAAGGAGGTAAGCATTACTTAAGATAGATGTTTTATGCCTCTGCATTTGTGTTGCCATATTGGTACTATCTTGTATGAGACTTAGTTTACCTCGTTCTTTCTGCAAGACACTGGGTTTGCATGCTCATGTTGGTTGTTCAAATTTCATATAGGTTTTGATTGCTTGGCATTTTCAGATAAGGTGGTCAGAGCGGAGTGGGGGAGGTAATTCTCACACAAGGAAGCGTTTCAGATTCTCTTGCAGTTCATGGAATTGATGCAAGTTTCATCACACGTCAATCGAACCAGGAAAGTTAACAATCTAATCATTTGTTTAGTGGGTACATTCTTAAGTTCATTGGCATTTTGAGGTGCGAAAATTGGCAAATAGTTGCACATGTTTAAGTTGTTTAGTTTGGGTTTGTGTTTGTATAATTATGATCATCTCATGCACTAAGCTTTGATCTGCTTTAGTATCTAAAATTTCAATTATTTTCAAAATTTAATGTTAATTTTTTAACGGAATACTAAAATGAAACAAAAACTAAACATAAGTATGATTTTAAAAAATTAAAAATTTTATATATTAAAATAGATAGATTAATAGTTTAGATATTAAATGTATCTTTTCGAAATTCAACACATCAATGGCTTTTGTTGAGCAGCCAGACAAGCCTGACGAAAGGGAACGAGTAGAAGCAGGTGGAGGAAGGATCATAAACATTAATAGGAATCGTGTCCTTGGAGTACTTGCCACTCCAAGATCATCAATCGGTTTGTAAAAATCTATGCATGTGCACGTGTTCCTTCTAAAATTTAAATTTTTTTAAAAAAAAGTTATATTATTAACATGTATGTTTATATTTAAAAATATTTTTAGGTCCGTCATCGCTTCGATCATTTGTTTGTTTATGATAAAATGGTGTTGAACTGATTCAGGACATCAATATTTGAAGCCACATCTGATCTCCAAACCAGAGGTCTCTGTGACTGAGAGAACAAAATCCGACACCTTTGTAATATTAGCCAGCGATGGTCTGTGGGATGTTGTCTCCAACGAACGTGCATGCGAAGTTGTCAAAAGATATTTCGATCAGACGACGACGATATCGACAACGACGACAGGTTAAGTGGAAATCGAGCTGCAGAGGCGGCAGCCATGGTAGCTGAGTTAGAAATGTCTCGAGGGAGCACCGACAACATTAGTGTAACTGTAGTTGAGTTGAAAACTTGAAAGTCTCTTTTATTTTCTCATATGTTTTTGCTTCCTTTTTCACTTTGTTTTCAAGTTGTAATCCCAAACTGACATGTAAAGTTTGTTCTGCGACAGGCTACAGCATGGGATATTTGGTTAAATTACATGTTTAGTATCTCAACTATTATTTTTGTTCTATTTTGTCCATCCAACTATTTTTTTCTAAATCTTACTTAGTATTATATTTTGATTTTATTTTAGTCATCCACAATCAGAGATTTTGATTTTACTTTGATAACCCACAATTAAAGACGACACTAAGATTAAACTACAAGAGGACAAATTGCTTAAGTTTAAAATGAATAATGTCTTTAAAATTGAATAAATCATAAATTTGAAAGAGTTATGATTGAAATTCATTAATTTCAAATTGAAGGGTCTTAAAAAATAATCAAACCAAAAAAAAATAGAAGTCAAAAGTTAATTTTAAAACTAAAAGGATATTAAAATATAATTAAATCAATAAATTTCGAAAGGGATACAAACTTAAACTTAATAGTAATGATTTCAAAGATATTAGTAACAAACTTAATAGTAATGATTTCAAAGATATTAGTAACCTAAAATTAATTACACCGTCAAAACTAGGGGGCAATTGCCCCTCCACCTCCAAGGTAGCTTAGTTTCTGTTAATGGTTAAAATAATATAGCATTACCTTACACTGATATATCAGCATTACTGTCAATTTTCTAATAACAGATAACTAAAATAAAATCAAAACTACCAAAGTTAAATGTTAGAGTTGATTTAAAAAAAATTTGTGTAATCAAAACAGAACAAAAGTAATTATTGAGGGTATCAAACATGGAGTATAATCTAAAATTGACAGAATCATCCTTTATTTAAGGTGGACACGTATTCATCTTGAATTTTGGATTTTGTTCAATTAGTTATCTAGTTTATTTGATTGTGTTCATCTTAAAATTTTATTTATGTTCATCCCATCAAAAGTTATATTATTAAAAAATATTTATGAATCTGTCACTCGAACTTAATCATTAGAAGAGAGACAACATTGTTGTACAACAAACTATATTTATACTGGAAGTACAAACAGCTGCAGAGATGCAACATGAGGACACCAAAAGGAAACAAAAAAGAAAAGGAAATGGCTGCTGTGAAGTACATATGAAAAACAAGACCCTTTGCAATCCATATGACAAGTCAATTTGGCATTAACTTACTCTTTGAATGCCTCTCAATCATGTCTATTAGATATATAATAACAAATGAAGCAGAGGGAGAAAGAGGATGAGCAACTCCTTTAATTTCTCTTCACTCCTTTCTCCTCCCATCTTCCACTATTATTTTTACCTAATATGAACTACAACCCCTAATCAAACAAGGACACTGCATTTTGTATGGCTGCACAAATCCAGAAACTATTTGGAACCTTCAATATGTATCACCAATCTTCTTCTCTTAAGCCGAATCGTAGCTCGAAACCGAGACATCAGCAGGAGAAGCAGCATGGATGTACACAAACTCGATGCTCTTTCCTGCAGGTAAAGGGTTGAGATGTGTTGGGAGACCATAAGAATTCCCAGATTTAGTGAGACCCCATATAGGACCATAGAGCTTTGATATGGACAGCTTGAGATCCTTTCGTGTCTTGGAGGACTTGTTGGTCACCACTGTGGAATATCTGTAGTAAGTTCTTCCTTTTGCATTCCAGGACTTTGTCACCTTCTGCTGTATGGAAATTGGACTATAAGATGCTGCAAAAACAGAATCCTGAGTCAGAATGGGGGAGATGGTGTTATCATTAACCGAAACAACGTTCTCGGAATGTACCAGGAGTCGGTTTGGCTTTTGGCTCGGTCTTCGGTTTGGCAGCAACTGGTTTAGGAGCTGGGATAGCCACTGCATTGGAAGGAAAAGCCATGATCATGATCATTGATTCAGAAAGCAAGAACCATGGAACTTAATGGGGATATATATACGCTGTATATACCAGGAAGCAGCTGGTTGTAACCGGCATGACCACCCCCAAGTCTAGCCAGTATGCCAAGAAGAGGAGCATTGTTGTAGGTAGCAGGCTCTGTTTGTTCATAATTGTCTCTTTCATCAGCGAAGTTGTCGTACGCATCAGGCCCTCCAACCACAGCACCGGTGAGGACGTTGGGATCGCTTGCTTTCCTTGAATACCAAGTGGCATAACCTTGTCGGCACGCGACAAATTGAGGGTGGAACTTGATTGAAACGATTGAAGAGCCTCGGTGATGAACTTGTCGTGGGAAATTGTTACCATAATCAACCATGTAACTTGTAGCTCTTGGATTGTCCCCTAGAAGGTAATCCACCTGAGATTTTAACATAGAAAAATTACATTAGGAAAACTTTGTTTTAAGGCTGAAGTTGCTTATCATTTATATCTCTCTTTAGAGTTACCTGAGATTTAGCAAAAGAAAGAAGCTGAGATGGTGCAACATTGCCAGCATCACACCTCAAGGTTCCTCTAGAGGATGTGAGATAGTCAGAGTACACGGTGGCTAAAAACGAGGCGCTCGTTACGAACTGCATGTTGTTCCATCGCTGTCGGAAAATCAAACCACCGGGAGTCTTCTGAACATTACGGCTACCCTTTCCAATCAATGCACACATGAAGTGCTCTGCCTTCTGATGGTACCTCTCAAACACTGGAGCATGGAGACCAGCTTTGCCTTGCATCAAGAACTGCAGGTTCACCAACAACCATTAATTACCGAGAAAAACCAAGGAATTACTCGTTGAAAAGACGAACAATTATCGTTCGATATACCTTGGAGACGAGGGTCTGAACCCCAGCGTACTTGACGTCCCAACCGAACTCGGTCATGGCCCAGCCGGTTCCACCCATAGAGTCACCATTCTTTCCAAGATAGTTCAAGTAGTAGTCATTGTTACTAGCTTGGTACAACCATGCTGCAGCCCACAACAACTCATCCTATACAAAATTCCCAGTTATCACAACTAACATCCCATTTTCGACCATCAAATGAATTTTGCAGTAACATTGGTAAAATATTTTGTTTAAGAAATTTTGAAGAAGAAGAAGAAAACTTACATTGTAGCCACTGACGGATCGGTAGTACTTTTGGGCAACTGTGATGCTGCTGTCGTATTTGCCTCTGTATTTATCAGCAAATTCGAATAGCTGAAAAATAGAAACTTATATTACAAACGAATCAAATGACCTACTTTCGTTAAGAGATTGTTATTATCTTTAGAGATTGTGAATTCGAGCATTACATATACTTACATTGTGAATTGATTGAGAGATTTAAACAGATATTATATTATATTCACCCATATTAATTAAAAAAAAATTATATGGCAAACTTTGCGATAAAATAAACGGTTAAGATCTACTGGTACAATAGATCTGTACGGTCAACAGAAAATTAATCACACATGACAAAAGTGCCTCCAAGATCCAATTTATGCGCTATATAAAATTCAATTTGACACCAAAAGTTTTGAAGAAAACACACCTAAACGACAACGTTTCTTTTACAGACAAGACAAAAAGTTAACTGGTTTTTTGGGAAACAAATGCTTAACAGTTACAAGCATTGTTTTCAGAAACGGAGCGGTTAGCGAATCGGATCGATTAGCGAACCGGTCATACTACTGATTCACTGATTCAACCGGTCGAATCGGTTCGATCGGTCAGAAGAACCGGACGACGTCATAATTATTTAAAAAATTAAATAAAAATACCAAAAATATTTAATAAAAAATAATTTTGTATATCACAAATCATATTCAAAGCAAGTCATAACATATATAAGTTAAAAACCATAAAATCAAGTGAAACAAAATGATTCAAATTAACTACAACATAATATTTAAGTTAAACATATTAAATAATAAATATAATTATATAATTATAATTAAAAAATAAATTTGGGACTAAAAAAATCATAACAAAATGATATTGTTTGGTTTAAATTTTTTTTTTAAAACAATCTCACATGGCTAAGAAACATAGAAGAACATCCCAAAAGTCTAAAGAGTAAAAATATGAGAACAAAACAATCCCACATTGCTAAGAAACATAGAAGAGCATCCCAACTAACTTCTATAAATAATAGAGGTAATTTGGCATTCAAAATCATTGAGCTTTTTGGTGAGCATAGAGTGAACTATTCTTTCACTTCTATCAAGCTCGAATTTTAGGCTTCAATCGAGCTTCTAAATTTTTTTTTGAGTTCAAGCCTTTTCGAGTTCAAGTTTCAATATTATATTTCGAGTTCGAGTTGAACTTGATAATTTTTAGTTCGTGAGTTTGAGTCGAGTTGAGCTCAACAATACTCGAGTTTGACTTGGCTCATTTAACAAACAACGTCGTTTGGTTTAATTTTTTTTTTTAAAAAAAACAAAATTTCCGGTTTTTTCCGATTTTTTTCGATTTTTTCTGGTTTTCAGCCGGTCTGGTTCGAACAATTCAGCAGTTTCGGTCGGTTCACTAGTAGTGGTTCAACCAGTGTAGTTTGAACCGGACTAGATAACGGTTCCCGGTTGAACATGCCGGTCCGATCCGATTTTCAAAACACTGGTTACAAGGAAAAAAATTATAAAACCAATTAAAAACTTTATAATTATTACATTAAACAAAACAAACCTAATTAAAAGTTATTAATAATAATATTTTTTAATAAATAATTTAAGACAATTATAATGTAGTTAGGGGTAAGTGTTTGATCGAGTTCAGTTGAGTCGAGTAAAAAAAATTGAGTTGATGAATCTTATTTTATAATTCAAACTTACTTGAAATTTTTTAGTCAAGTTGAATTGAGTTAAGTTGTTTGAGTTTTTGTTTAAATTTAATTATAAATTTTTATAATATTATGATACTATTTTATTTCAATTTAAAAATTTTCTATAACAATATACAATATATATATATTTCTTCATATTTTTCCATTAGTGTTATAAATATATAATTATAGAGTCGAATGACTCGACTCAAACTTTAAAATCAATCTACTAATTACTAAAATTTTTGAGTTATTCGGGTTACTATTCAAGTTCTATTATGTAACTTAATTCAAATTTAAAATGTTTTCGAGTCAAGTTTATAAAATTACAACTTAAAGTTAATTCGAGTTGAGTAGAATCTAGTCAAAAAATATCAGTTTTTCAAGTCAAATCAAGTCGAAAAGATCAATTTTTCTAGTCTAGTCGAATTTATCAAATTAAAATTTTAAGTCGAATTTATGAAATTAAAATTCGAAGTCAAATTCGAGTTGAATCGAGTAGAGTCGAAAAGATCAATTTCAATTTAACTAAATGTATTATATGTTCTGAATTTTTTTAACCATGACTAATAAACATCTTATAGATTTAATTATTCGAATTTAAAATCTCTAAAGATAATAATAATCTATTATATCACTAAAATCACTTAATAAGTTAATAAATATTATTTGATTACTTTAAAAATCCAGAATTAAAATAAATCCACCAAAATAGGCTCAAGAAGTGTAACCATAAGCTAGAGGGAGTAGGAATATACCTGATAAGCGTGTCGAAGGAGCTCGGTGGAATACGCTGGGTTGAAGCGGCGGAAGACGATTGAGGCGGCAGCCATGGCTGCGGCGGTCTCACCGGCGAGATCCGACCCGGGGTTGCTTGGGTCAATCTTGTAAGCATGGCGGTCAGTGGTCATGTCCTCTGGTCTTTGCCAACAGTAGTGGTCACTGTTTCCATCTCCCACCTAAAACGAAGATCACCGGAAAGTTCCAAAAACAAACAGATTCGAAATGGATCTTCACTTAACAAGATTACCTCTCCGTAAAGGACGTAAGGTTCAGGGTGAGCCTTGATGAGATAATCAGTGCCCCACTTGACGGCTCCCATGGCATGGCCGAGCTCTCCATTCGCCGCCATTTGCTTACCGTACTCTATTATGCTCCATGACATCATTGTGATGGTGAATGCCATTGGCAGCCCAAACTTCACATTGTCCCCTGCATCGTAGTACCCTCCTACCAGATCCACCTGTTCAATTTCACTACAAAAATTACAATCATAATTCTCAATTCAAAATCAATGGGAGTGTTAAGTGTTAAGATTAGCTTACCCCACTGGCCTTGCCGTCATTCAAGCCGGAATTAGCTCTCCATGAGACTCTCTGGTCACGAGGAATATACCCAGATCTTTGAGCTTCAAAGAAGAGAATGCTCTTACTTAGAGCTTGGTTATAGTCATGCCCACCAAATGCGAAAGGAAGACACAGTATTAAAAGCAGAGGAGCCATTGAAATGAGCTTCTTCTCCATGTATTCACAGTAAGACACTAAACCAAGTTGCAATATCAACGAAAACAGGGGGAAAACAAATCTGTTTTCTGCAGAATCTGTACACTGCAAAATGGGATTTCCTTCAACTTTCTAGAAATCAAAGAGATTCAAGCAATGTTGGTATGGATTAAAATTCCTGATAAAACCCACCAATAAGAGAAGGAAGAAAATGAGAGTGGGAAATGTAAGAGGAGCTCAAGCCTCTTTATATTGCAGGAGGGAGGAAGCAACCCATAGGGTAGAAATAGGCAGGGATCAATAAATGCAAAATATTTTAATTTTTCATATTAAAATACAAATTTTGCCATTTTGGAGGAGAGGAAAACGGCTGATAAAAGAAAAAAAAACAGAATTATTTGGGTGCCTTATAATATACGATTTTGATCAATTTTTTTTTTGATTTACCAAAATGACCAATAAAATCGCAATGCGATCTCTAAATCGCAACGCGATCTCCAGTATCGCAAATCAGTTTCCAGATTCGCAACGCGATTTTGACTATCGCATTGCGATTTACATATTATAAGGAATTTGGAAAATCGCAATGCGATAGTCAAAATCGCGTTGCGAATCTGGAAACTGATTTGCGATACTGGAGATCGCGTTGCGATTTAGAGATCGTATTGCGATTTTGTTGGTCATTTTGGAAAATCGAAAAAACGTTGGTCAAAATCGTATATGATAAGGAATTTTCGGTCACTGAGGTTATTTTCTCTTATTTTTATTTTGAAATTTTTGCATTATTATTAGGTTTTTCATATTGAAATTGATGATAAGTTTACTGGTAATTTCAATAATAGATTAACCATTTCACTTAGATTGCTTATTAAATTCATTCGATTGCTGCCAATACTACTAAATTGTTTAGTCTTTAACCTTGTAAAGTTAGTATTTATCTTTGTTTTGTCTTTTGGTTGAAGTAATGCAATTCATTCAAGTTTCAATTTTAGACAATGACTATTTGAAACCGAGGATCGCAACGCGAAATGAAAATCGCAACGATAGGCAAATTCGCGTTGCGATAGTCATTTTCGTGTTGCGATTTTCATTTTCGTATTGCGATTTTAAGTTTCAGAAACTATTATTCTTCTGCAAATTGAAACTTGAATGAATTGCATTACTTCAACCAAAAAACAAAGACAAATACGAAATTCACAGTGTTGCAAATTTAAGTTTGAAGAATAAACTACCACTACTCTTTATGTTTATTATTGTTCTCTATTATTTTTGGTATATCTTCACAGTGTAGTTTTTAATCTAACTTGGTATGTTTATTGTTTTTGTAGAACTTTTTTTCGGCTCAATTGACCTTAAGGAATAAAATAAGCCTAGTCACTACAATTACGTCGAAGCTTTTACCTGTACAAAGAAAATTGTTTGAGAATACTTGCTTCAGGCCATGGCTGAAAATACAACATCCGGGTGGAGATGCTATGTTGACCCATTTGTGGCTTCAGACCATGACTAGCGATCTACCCGAGAGTATAAAACGTGGTAATGAAGAGATATGGTTTCATTTTCCACCGGCGTATACGTGTTTTGGGCGGGAGGAGTTTTGCGTAATCACTGGTCTACGCTTCGGACACGATGATGTAGGTCGATACATTAGTCATATTACCCGCCCATCATGGTTATCCCGGGTTTTTCCTGAGCTGTCAATGGAGAAGCCGAATTTACACGTCGACGACTTGACGAGATTATTGAATAAGAAAGATGGTTTTACTCGGATGGATAACGTCGATGTTGTCCGAGTATGCCTTTTAGTACTTTTGCATGTCGGCTTTTTAGGCAGAGAGGCCAGACAACCTATTCCTAATGACCTAATATTATTAGGTAGAGGACCTAAATGCATGGAACCTGTTTCCGTGGGGTTCGTATCTATGGAAAGCTACCTGGAATAAGTTGTCGTCTACCTTTGATGACCGTAAAAGTTTGCGTGGCGATGGTTCCAAATACACTTTGTCAGGCTTTATTTGGGCCTTTAAGGTAAGAATTTCTATATAATGTTTCCAAAATTATAATTAATTATTTAACAATTACTAATGTTTGTGTATTATATTGTTTTTGTAGATTTGGATATTTGAGGCTTTTCCCGACGCATTAAAAACTTCAAATGATATTCCTAGAGCTATTTCCTGGAAGAGGAAACGGCGGCTGTTGATTTGGGAAGAGTTACTACGGTATACGATAATAAATGATGTAAGTTAACACAAATAATATCATATATAAACAAGTTATTACTAGTACACGTTTAACTTTGTTTGAACTTTTATATTGTTAGGAGGCCAACACTCCATTACAGAGGCTGAGCTTGCCACTGATTGGTGGCAAGCTAGTAAGCATTTTTTTGATGGCACGAATGATTAGCAGCCTCCACTTCGAGAGCCATCACCTCACCCAGAGCCATCACCTGATCGACCATACTATATACCTTTACAACGAGAGCTATCACCTATTCCGTCACATCATCGAGCCTCTTCTCCACCATCACCTCATGATAGGCGACCGGCAAAGATGCCATGATATTTATCTCCATGTTCTCCACCTCCACGAGATGAGTTAGGGGAGTTACGTGATGAGGTCAATGCCTTGCGTGAGGAGGTCGATACTTTACGCGATGACAATGGTGCATGACGTGACGAGGTATCTACTTTATATGGTGAGGTAGCGACTCTGCGTGAGATGGTAGCATCGTTGCAGAATGAGGTTCATACTCTACGCAACGAGGTAAGTTTAAGATTTTTCATATTTAACTTGATTTACTTGTAATTTCACTTAGATTAACCATTTCACTTAGATTGCTTAGTAAATTCATTCGGTTGTTGCCAATACTGCTAAATAGTTCTAAAATAACCCTGTGAAGTTAGTATTTGTCTTTGTTTTGTCTTTTGGTTGAAGTAATGGAATCCATTCAAGTTTCAATTTGCAGAAGAAGAATAATTTCTGAAACTTAAAATCGTAACACGAAACTTAAAAAATCGCAACGCGAAAATGACTATCGCAACGCGGAAATGACTATCGCAACGGGATAATCGCAATGCGAAATAAAAATCGCAATGCGAAAATGAAAATCGCAACGCGAATTTAGTTTCGCGTTGAGATTTTGGTTTCTCGTTGCGATTTTTATTTCGCATTGCGATTATCCCATTGCGATAGTCATTTCCGCGTTGCGATAGTCATTTTCGCGTTGCGATTTTTAAGTTTCGTGTTACGATTTTAAGTTTCAGAAACTATTCTTCTTCTGCAAATTGAAACTTGAATGGATTGCATTACTTCAACCAAAAGACAAATACTAACTTCACAGTGTTGCAAATTTAAGTTTCAAGAATAAACTACTACTCTTTATGTTGTCCTTGAACATGCACTAAACCTATATGCTGTCATTTTAAATGTTTATATAAGTGCTTACTTCCGGAATGTTATCTGATGCATTTTGTGAACTATGATAGAATAATGACTTGGGTGAATATCGTGCAAGTTTGAAACATATTTGTCTTTGTTTTCACTGTTTAATATCATGTCTGTTTATTTACTGATTCATGTATTAATTTATTTTTAGCGGCCCGATAAGGTGGATAATTTACGTCGGGTTTTTCTTGTACGACGGGGTTCACGCATCAGACGGCGTGCACGTGCCATTACGTCTCCGTTCACCCCAATAGTGCGAAGACTCCGTAAGAAGAAGCCTGACTCACCTATCATCGTTCAAGAGGCCTCTCCTATCATTCAAGAGGCCCCTATCATCCCTCAAAAGTCCTCTCCCACTGTTCAAGAGGCCCCTGTCATGGTTGAAGAGGTCCCTCCCACCATTCAAGAGCTCGATTCATACGGCGTAATATGTCGAATTATTGAGAAACCACCTCACGTGTCGGATATGATGGATGACTGTTGGCTTTCGTATGAGTTACCGGCCAGTACCATTCCGGCAGATGAAGTGGAGAGGAGACAACTACCGGAAACAATTCTGGATAATACCCTTTGGGCTAAGACTGCAGTTGATTTTTATCTATATGAGCAGAGCCAGGGGTGTTACGCTGACATATACAAACTCAACGATGATATGCATTTGTTGATTGATCGGTCTTGGTGGGGTGTGTTATTAGGGGTTGAAGACAAAGGCTATTTCGATGGGGGTAAGTCTTATATTTCTTCTTATATTTCATTTTGATTAATTGTTTTTTAAATTTATGTAATTCAGTAATATGTCTTTTTTATTAAAACAACATATTGATGCATGGGTGTCATGTCTTCTAATAGTAAGGAAATTGAGGAAAAATAAAAAAAAACGTGATATACAATTATGTCGACGTCTTTTCACGTAGTTCACTTGAAGAATCAATGACAGTAATCATATGTGTTGGCTAATGGACAAGCTAAACTTTATCCTGCATGGTGGGAGGTCGATAAGGTTAGTATTTATTTTTAAATATTTTAAAGGTGTTCATAAATAAGTGCGCAATTTGAATTATTACTTATGATTGCAGGTGTTTATCCCTGTTTTGGAACATACTCATTGGCTTCTCGTCGAGCTTCAGCTCCCATCCCTGAAGACAATAGTATATGACAACATGATAAATTACAGATCATTGTCTGATTTGAGAGATATTATTAAGGGATGGAGCTCTCATTTGGCTAAATTCTTGGATGCGATTAATTATTGGACTTATTCTGGAAACAAGAAGCCAAAGAAGTTCAATGTTACAGTTATCAGAGACGAGACCGCGCCACAACAAATGTAGGAAGCCAGAGGGGATTGTGGTCCTCTCGTATGCATGTGCTTGGAGCGTTTGACGACAGGAAGTACACAGTTTCTACCTCCCACCGATAGAGATAGAGGTGCAGTAGGCTTGTGGTTTGGGTATTTTATGGCTAGAGCGATATATGCGAGACACTGCCTACCTGCATCCGCGTTATCAAAGTGTTCATAAACAATTTGTAAGTCAAATGCAAGTGTTGTTAAGTACCTAGAATTCAATAATAATTTGTTGTTTGTTGGTTTTAGATGTGTAGAAAGTGTTGTTTGAGC